ACCCATCCATTTATGTTTTTTTTATTGCATGCTCTTCTTATGTTTTCGCTTCTCTCCTTATCCAACAGACTTTTCAATAATATTTGTCGGAGTATTTTCATCTCTGTTTTAGGAGTTTTAGATGTGTCATGTCTTGTTTCCGCCGTGTACGTTGATTTAGGTCTAATTGCTGCTTTATAGATTCTTGTTTTGGTGTCTTGTCTTAGGTGTTTGTTCTTCCAGATTGTGTCATTAAGGATCCCGCCGCTTTACTTGCTTTTAAGCTTTGTTGTCGTACTTCTTCTTTAACATATTCGTAACCTGCTTTGTTTCCTGCTTTATTATTTTCCCATCAATTTTAATTTTACATCATATTGGGTATTTAGATGTTATCATACATTTAGTTTTTTCTGCTGACATTATCAAATTGTATTTCTTGGCTATTGTATTGAATATGTGTATTAATCTTTAAGGCTCATCTCAGCGATTAATGGGGCGTCATCTGCATAATATATAATTTGGATTTCTTTATTCCCTATTCTGTAACTAGGATCTTTACGGACTGCTTGTAAGAGGTCTTCCAATAAAAATTTCCTGATATTTTTTTTAAACAGAAATGCTAAAAATTGCTGTAAATCAAAAAAAAATTATTTGTTGCAAAACTTAATAGATAGCAATCATGTTCCAAATAGCACATCATTCAAATGTCCACCACGACTACGTTTGCAGGAACGTCACTTTATGCAAAATATCCGCATTAATCTCACGAATGGTGTGCTCTATGTTCCTGTTCAAGTTTTTAATAGATTGTGGTTTATTCACATAGAACACTGGATTAACATAGCCCCATAAAAAATAATTCAACGGTGTTAAATCGCAACTTCTTGGAGATCAAGCATCTGGTCGAAGTTGCTGAAATCTTCTGAGATTTCTGGCATCAAGAGAAATCAATGTTTCCCGGAACTTTTTCTTCAATAAATCAATGGTTTGGGCAGTAATGTGACATGTGGCACCGTTCTGTTGGAAAAACATGCCATTCAAATATACTTCATCAAACTAAGGCCACAAAAAATCCGTTATCATCGTTCGATACCTTGACTGTTACGCCATGTTCGAAATAATAAGGTCCCATGATGCCACCATGCCATAAACCATACCAGACATTAACTTTTTCTTGATCCAAAGGCTTCTCAAGAATCTTATGTGAATTATTTTCACTCCAAAAATGAAAATTTTGCTTATTCACAAAGCCGTGTATCCGAAAATGAGCTTCATCGGAAAAGATTATTTTTTTGAAAAAATCGCCATCATTTCCGAGTTTATCTGGAACCTAATCAGCGAACAAACGACGCTTATGATGGTCAAGTGGCTTCAGTTCTTCGGTCAAAACAATCTTGTAAGGGTGTAGGACTACATATTTTCTCAGAATTCGCCAAGTTGTCATTCTAGTGAGTCCAAGTTCTTGAGAACGACGATTTACAGACACATTTGCATTCTCTGCTACACTTCTTGCAGCAACAATATTGTCCTGAGTTCTTGAATTTTGGCGTCGAGTTGGTGGTTTCGTATCGTGCAGAGTAAATTTACGTTCAAACTTTTCCACAATTCGCCGAATTACAGTCACATCAGGACGATGATTTGGTCCATAACTTTCACGAAATGCACGATAGGTATTCACAAAAGAACGATTATTAGCATAAAATTTTAGGACAATTTCCAAACGTTGTTCAAGCGTATATCTTGCCATGGTAATTTGTTAGAGTATACTTAATACAAACGTCAATAAGTGACAGTTCTACCATTTTTAAAATGACTGCTATGATATTTCAAAAACAGGACGTCCCTATTGAGAAAGTCAATTTCGGAAATTATTTCGTCTATTATTACATTAAAGAAAAGTGAGCTTAACGGGTCACCCTGTCTGACTCCACTTCATACTGGTATACACTGGTTAGTTTTCTATTTATCTTTGCCTGTAATTGATTATATAAGAAGACGTTTTCGATGGTTTGTATAATATTAATTGGTATGATTTTGTAAACAGTAGGTGTAAGACGTCTTCGACTTGAATGCGATCAAAAGCCTTTGTCAGGTCTATGAAACATAAATATTCTGGTTTATTATACTCGATAATCTTTTCTGTGATTTGTCTTAGTATAAATACGGCGTCTACGCAGAATCTTCCGGATCTGAACCCTTGTTGTTCTGGTAAAGTAATGTGATAAAGTTGTTAGTTTATTGATTTTGTTGGTTAGGTCTTTTGTGGTAAGATTAAGTATAGTGTTCAATATATTTATACCTTTATAAATATTGAAATCTTCTTTATCTCATTTCTGAATATTGGTATCATTATGCTGTTTCTTCATGTGTCTGGTATCTTGCAGTGCAATATTAGTTTTTGTATAAGTTTTGTTATCTCTTGGGTTATACTTTCTCCTTCGTGGTTAAGAAGCTCATTGGTTATTCCGTCTGGTCCTGGTGACTTTTTATTTTTGAGTAAATTTATAGCTATCTTTACTTCCTTAAAACTAATTTCTATTTCGTGTCTTAATTCAGGTACGTTATTGTGTTGACTATTATTTTCTTTTCCTTTAAATTGTTTCGTCAGGTATCTTTCCCATTCGTTTGCTGGTATGTTATTGTATTCCTTCAGTTCTGGTATTTGATTTAGTTGGTTTCTTATGAATCTCCATATCTATTTTTGTGTATCGTGGAAGTTGCTTTTTATCCTTTTTGTAAACTGTTCCCAGTATTCATATTTTGTACTTCTTACCAACTACTTTGTTTCAAATGAAATCGTAGGCTTCCACGCCAGAGTCAGAATTATAGTTTATTCGTCTTCCGGGTTTTCCATCTTAACTCACAACATCCGAGTATAAAATTCACAATGGAAGTAGAAAATAATCGGTCCCTTCCCTTTCTCGATGTGTTAGTCACCTCCAAGCCCAATGGCCGATTGGGTCACTCTGTTTATAGAAAAAAGACTCACACGAATCGTTACCTACATGCTTCATCACACCACCATCCTGCTTAAAAGAATTCTGTGATCAACTCTCTCATCCATCGGGCCATTTCGATTTCTGAACCCGACAACCTTAGAGAAGAACTTGGCCATCTACAAAAAACCCTTGTCGCTAATGGTTACTCCAAGTCCACAATTCAAAATATTACACACCGACATCTACAACCCCTTTTACACCCTAGGACAACAAATTCAGAATCTTCGGGTAATACTCCTGTGGCTTTCCTTCCGTATATTCGAAATGTCACTGATAGGATTGGCAAAATTCTTCGCAAAGAAGGTATCAGGACTACTTTTCGACCACCCAAGAAAATCTCACAATATCTACCCTCTCCTAAGGACCCATTACCGCCCCTATCTTCCTGTGGTGTCTATTCTATTCCTTGTTCATGTGGACATGTGTATATTGGCGAAACTGGTCGTTCCGTCAAAACTCGGATTCAAGAGCATCAAAGATGCATTCGATCAGGTCTTTTCTCCCATTCTGCAGTTGCCGAACACTGCCAAGAAACCGGTCATTCCATATTGTTCGAAAAAACCCATATTATTTCTAAGAGCCCCTTCTTTTATTCCAGGAAAATCCGCGAATCTCTAGAGATCCGAAAAAATCCCCATAATATCAATCGAGAGGAAGGATACTACTTGTCTCCCATCTGGAATCTCAGTCTAGAGCCACCGTCCGGTCCCGCCACCACGATGCAGCCACATGATTGGCCAGCGCGCGCTTCTTGACGTTCGCGCCACGAAGTGTGCCGATACGTCCCGACACGACAGGCATCGCGACTATAAATAGAGCGGTAGCGGAGTAATCGTCGGATTCACTCCCCGCCTCTCGACGCGTTAGTGTTCTGAGCTGTTGGACGTGAATCCCTATCCTGGCATTTGGTTTTCACCTCTGGCTGCGTTGAGTAGTTGAGTTACTGTGACCAAATGCCCATCTTGGTAGTTAGTATTCGCCTCTGGTTGCGTTGAGTAACTGAGTTACCGTTGCTACCTACCCATCTTCCTGTTCTTTTGTTTTCTTTTTTCTTTTTCTTTGTTCTCCTGAAGAAGCTACATACAATTGTAGCGAAACGTCGAGATGAACCCACTTTTGGGTCACACAAATGACACGGTCCAAACCCGGAAGACGAATAAACTACTTTGTTTCATTTCGTATTCTTTTATAGCTGTCTCATGGTAACGAGAACGATATAATAATATCGTTTTTTGTCCTCTGGGCTATACAAAATGTGTAAAAGATTAAATCTTCTAGCAAAAGCTGTTATCGCTTTGGTGCTCCTAGGCCATATATTTGGCCATTAAATTCAACAAAGCGATAGCAGCTTTCGATTTAAGATTAATCTTTTACACATTTCGCATAGCTTAGAGGACAAGAAAAAGATATTATTATATCGTTCTCGTTTATGGTCGCCAAAGCAGGTGGCGCCTCTGTACGCTACCCACTGCGGTGGTGAAGATTTAGAATACATTCGTTGTACTTTCCGAGTTTGAATTTGTAGAAGCCCAAGTGTCTGATGAGGCTGGGATAGACGTAAATAATTCATAACACTTTATTGATATCGATTCGAGCACGGAAAGTTAACCGAATTTGTCCTCCTATGCCATATATTTGGCCATTTAATTTAACAAAGCGATAGCAGCAGAAGATTTACTCTTTTACTCACACACACACACACACACACACACACACACACACACACACACACACACACACACACACACATATATATATATATATATATATATATATATATATATATAATATATATATATATATATATATATATATATTTATATGATAAATATATATATATATATATATATATATATATATATGAACAAATAAAATATTTTTCGTGTATAAAAGTAACTATGTAGTACCTATGTGTAGAAGAAAAATATTCTAGTCGAAAGGTTCGAAAATACTTCTAAAAATATTTCTAATTTTCCGACAACACAGAACTGTAAGCAACATTTTTGTATATTCCCATTCGGAATGAAAATAAAAAGCGCTCACAAAGGATTTACAAAAAAATCCGGGTAATTCATTACCGCACGAATTCTCATATTTCCAACGCTTTCAGCTTTTTCCTCTCAACAAATTATTTTCTTTTATTTTCAGCCGGAAATGGGTGAAACTTATTAAGGATCCGCATGTAGCCGATCAGTATACGGGTCTTTTGGGCGTTGAAAGAGCACATCCTTACGACGAGGGCATATTTACTTGTCAAGTGGAGGATTTCAATATGAAAGAATGTCTGTCCAAAGAAGTATTAATAGAAAAGAAACCCTCCATTAAGATTGAGCCAGTAAACTTGACAGTGAAGAAGGTAAGTCTTTAATATTCGATTTTTTTAAGATTTATGTCAACGAATTTAAATTGGTAAGCAGTTTTGGAAGCTAAAAGGATTTTGTCACTTTTATATCAGCAAATCAAAGTTGGTTATATTCATTCGATTAGGTTGTTTCTTCAGACAGACTTTATTTTTTTTTGGCTTGCATACATTTTTGCAGAAATAATTAAAAGAAAACAAATGTTTGAGAAAAATTAGCTTAAATATGTTTCAAAGTATTTAATTTTAAAATCGATACACTTTTGCATTTAAACAGACTAGTCATCGAGACAAATAAGTCAATCTGAAATATGTATTTCAGAAACGATATTCTTATATGCCTTACCTGTCATCTTAAACAGTTCACGGCATAGTTTATTTTTAATTTTCATGAACTTAAAGAAATCACACATATTAAATGAGCAGTGTGAGAGTTGCCATCATTGTCCTGATGTGAGAAAATGCGACGAATCCGGTTATTTTTGAGGAGTTGCCCAATAACTTCGGCATACAGTCCAGTTGATTTAATTGGCAGTGAATGTGCGAGGTACTCTGCGATCCAAAAATCGAAGAAGGGCGGAAAGGAAAGATATACAAGAGTGTGGTGAGGTGTATGCTGGTGTGAGACCGTGGAGTATAACCTGTAAGAATGATTCAGGAAAAGAAAGTGGAGTCAGCTGAAATAAAAATGTGTGCAAATCCCTAAACTGTTGATACGGGTGACTCAATGAAAAACAGATATTTGTCAACAAGTTTACAGAAGTATATAGGAAAACAATTTTAAATTGAGTATGACCACCAGTATAAAAGTTGGAGCAGAATAGAATACAATAGTTGTGAGGGTTACTAATCCCTAAATAAGGTTGCCAGTGTCGGAGTGATGGAGGTTAACAGGTACTAATGAATTTGCAAGAAATGTAAGATGTTTATTTTATTGGTTATATATAACCAATAAAAGTTTAATAAGTACCTACCTATTTGTCAAATAAAGTTTAATTCTTTAGATAAAATAAAACGTTTTATTTTATCTGAAATGAGTGCATTCCACGAAGTAAGGGTTTCAACAATCAAATATTTAATTCCTTAATTCCAGGAATCTACGACAGTAATTGACTAGATAATTACCTTCTAAACTTATCCCACAGAAAATGTGATAGTGGGTTTTTCCATTTTGTAGGAAGGTCCAAGTGGCGTATTCAAAATTCCTAACAGTTCACTAAAAGTAGGTACTTCAGTTGCAAGGTGCAGTTTATTGTGTATACTAGTGTTATGGAAAATTTGGAAGTGTCGTGTAAACGCCGAAAAATTGGTCCTGTAACAGTTAATGAAAAAACATTAATATTTAATTGTTTTAAATCATTTACAAACAAACGTTTATGTGAAAGTGTTGATGAGACCGTTGAATTAGTTAGCAGTACACTTGGTGTTGGGAAATCTACGATTTACAGAGTTATTAAAGAAGAGAAATGTGGTAGTTTTCAAATGCCACGTAATGCTCCAGGGAAACCAAAATTTCAAATAGAATATCATTTTAAAAAGGACTTCGATGGAAAGTGCATAAATTCTTCTTTAGACAAGAATTTCCAACATTGGATAAAGTTCTTGTCTCAGTTCGAGATGATAAGGATTACCCAGAAATGAGTCGAAGTACGTTATGGAAACTTTTAAAAGAAATAGGCTTCCGCTGAAAAAAGAATCATAGAAAGTCTATTTTATTAGAAAGAAGCGATATTGTCATATGAAGAAGACATTTTCTAAGAACCATAAAGGAAATGAGAAACCAAAAAAGAAAAATATTTTATCTTGATGAAACATGGATCAACGAGGGTCATACACCAAATAAATTTTGGCAGGATGAAACTGTTACAAGTCAAAGGCACGCTTTTGTAAATAACTTATCTACTGGTTTAAACCCACCATCAGGAAAGGACGCAGGCTGATAATAGTACACATTGGCAGTTCAGACGGTTTTGTTAAAGGTGGTTTATTAACTTTTGAATCAACTCGTACCGGTGACTACCATGAAGACATGAACGCTGATGTCTTTCAAGAATGGTTCGAACAAATGATAGATCTTCTTCCTAAGAACTGTGTAATAGTAATGGATAATGCAAGTTATCACTTCAGACTTATAGAAGGACTGCCCACAACCAAGTGGTTAAAAAAGACTTGCAGAATTGGCTGAGTTCAATAAATATTACGTACCATCCCGGATCTATAAGAAAGGAACTTTATTCGTTGTGTGCCCTTCATAAAGAAAAATTTAAAAAATACGAAATTGATGAAATTGCCAAAAATCGTGGAATGACAGTACTTAGATCCCCACCATATCATTGTGAATTAAACCCGATTGAACTGGTATGGCACAGATAAAGAGTGAAGTTTCAAGAAAAAATACCACTTTTAAAATTCATGATGTTAAACAGTTGTTTTTGGAGGCCGTAAAGAATGTAAAACCTGAAAACTGAGAAAAGGCAGTAAATCACACTATTAAAGAAGAGGAAAAAATGTGGAAGCTGGACAATATTACTGATAAAATGATCGAGCCAGATATTATAAATCTTGGTTCTAAGAGTTCATCTCCTGAATCTGATTTGGATTTGTAAGAAGTAGCTGTAAGTTTTATATTTATATTTTTATTCATCTATTTAACATACCTTAGACGGTTTTAAAAACTCTTTTTCTCTTTTGTAATTTTTAAAAATTAAAAAAAATGTGAATTTTTTAAAACTCTTTTTAATGTAGGCCAGTCAGTTCTAATATAGTGTGTGATAAAAGAGGTCACTTTTGTTTACATACACATAACACTTTACAACACTGAAATAATTCATTTATTTTCTACAATTCTTCAAAGTAATTTTTCAATTAATCTTGAGCACGCCCATGGAGTGGTCGAAGGTACCAGTTAAAATTATGCTAATTACTCTCTCGTTCATAAAAATAAACTATAATTACTACCAGGGAGATTAAACAAATATGTACTGTAAACTTTATAATATCTTGTTAATTAAAAAAAAAAACATTAATAAGTGCCACAATTACCCCATTTCATCCTTTAAAAAATTTTAACGTACGTAAAACATTTCGATGTTATCAAAATCATAAGAAATAACAACTTTATTGTATACATATTTTATTCTTATTTCAGGGCGAAAATTTCACTATAAAGTGTGTAACTACCGAAGAAAGTCGTGATGGTTCGAAATATATTTACAGTTGGACAAAAAATAAAGAATTACTGCCAGTACGGACCGAGTTCGAAAAGTATGAAGTTTTGTATCCCTCGGGAACGATATTGCAGGTGAAAAGTGCGGAGGTAAATAATTTATGATATTTATTATTTATGAAGTAAAAAAAGGTTATGAGTGATAAATGTCTCGTTAATAATTAAAATATAAGCGTTTGGCGCATTATATAACATTTAGATTCATCCATATTTATAGATTTGATAAATATTCAAATATGCTTATATAGTAAAATCATGGTGAATTACATACACTTTCTATCCAGTCTATCAAATTTTACTAACAATTTTGTTTTATTTAAACGTTAAACTGGGATCGATCTTTACCTTAATAAATCCATGGTCAAAAACTTACATTAAATGCCCAGTGGGATGCAAATGTATCCCAACAGTTTTGGCTTATTGAAGCGAGGCTTATATTGTTCTTCTTCTTCAAGTGCCATCTTCGTTCCGAAGGTTGGCGATCATCAGGGCTATACGTATTTTCGAAACTGCTAACCGAAACAATTCGTTGTTGCTACAGCTATATTATTTCTGTAGATTCTTTAGCCAGGAGTTTCGTCTTTTTCCTATGGACCTTTTTCCTGCTATTTTCCCTTGCATAATTATACGAAGCAGTTCATATCTTTCGCCTCTTGTAATGTGTCCCAAGTAGGCTTATATACTGGCGTTGTATTACTTTTGCTATATAGTATAATGCAGCTCGCGAGCGAGCATCACGGAACTAACGCCACAAGATGGCGTTGTCACGAATATCGGTATATCGTAATAGTACATAAACTTCAAACAGTCAAACCTTTAAGACAAAGGGCAAAAATGGATAGGGATAAAAAACAAATGGAAACAGAACGTTATGAGAAATAAGTAAGAGGCTAGAGGAAAAGAATATAATAATTCGGCAAATAAACTAATTCAAAAGAAAACTTATGGACCAAGTTGTCATTGTAGAAAAATATGCTTTACTAAAATAGATAATACACACATAACAGAACATTTTTAAACAGTTATATAGTACAGGAAATAAAACTAAACAAGGCATTTATCTACGATAATTAATCAATAGGTGTAAAGGAAACTTCCGGCTTAAAGTATCTTATAAGTATAAAGTAATATTTTTATGGCCAAATATAATTGGTTTTAAAATGAAATTTTTTCACCGTCTGACCCTGTTAAATATTTTTCACACCTAAATACAATGGGGGTAATCTTCCCGTTCACGCATCATGTAGTTTTTATCAGTTCAAGTTCACATATCGCCATCGAGGCATCGAGTAGTTAAAAACTTAATTCACGTATTAAATACTTCTCTCCTTCGAAATCGGACATTTTCTCATACCGGTTTTCTTTTACGTATTATAAAGAAATAGTACATTTGATATTGTATAGTAAGTTACAGCCGTGTTGAGCCCCTATACTCTTAAAAGATTTAATTATAAATCGATAAACTCAAAAGTGCTTTTATTTCTTCTTAGCTATATTTGCTCATATTAAGAATCCTTATCCTTCAACGGTTATTGAAGAACCAAACCTATGGAGATATATCCATTCGCAAGTCCTTTGAAGTAAGGTTCGGAATCCAAAGATGTCCAACTCTCTTATGTAGGTAGCCAGTTACAAGGCTCCCTCAGTGTAGGAAGACAGAAAATCATAGTAAGCTAAAAGGCAGTCTACCGCTAAGTAGTATTATGTCACCTTCCAATAAGAGTGAAAAGCATTCCAATCGACCAAACAACATCAGTGAAGCAATAATAGCGCAAATGGAGGAATATATTTATCAAAGTTTTCTCAAAAGTAAATCTCATTATAGTAGGAAAGATAAACGGAAAAGGTATTTTATATCTCCTGATTTGAATATTACAAAAATGCATCGCCTCCACCTTGAAAAATATGAGCCAAAGAACTATGTTCTCTTAGACGATGGGAAATATTTAAAGGACATCAAGCCACTTGTAATATATGATTTTTATCACTGGCAATTTAATGTTAATTTTGGACATCCCAGCTTAGACACTTGTCAAAAATGTGATCACCTGAACAACACAATTGCCGCAGAAGCCAATTCAAAAACTAAAACTCGCTTTGAAACTAAAAAGCAACAACCTTTAGGTTATAAAAGGCTGAAATACTTTATACCATATTACGGGAATATACATATTTTGCTAACTGAGATGAATCAGCTTATGTCTTATGCTTTAATTACCAACAAAAACTGCCACTGACTTATATTCATTCAGGCGATATGTTGTAAAAAGGCAATTATGGCAATACAACTGTTGTGTAACTTTTGCGAAGAAAAGAGAGGCTACTTTTTATATGTACGATGAGCTCACTGACAAAAAGGTTGTAACGAAGTGGTCAGTTATTTACATCATTATTCAACAAGCTTTGTCCCAGAGATGTGACAACCCTCTATTTATTTTCGGGCATCTGTTTTGCAAAACAAAAATCACACCATACTGCAGTTCTTTCATACATTCATGAATGTTTTCAATAGTAATATTCAGCACATTATAAATCAGTTTCCAGAACCCAGTCACAGCTATCTACCATGCGATCATTGCTGTTGTCTGATTCAAATAGAAAAACGAAAAAAAAAAAGAAATAGTATATCTTCTAAATGGAGAAATTTGTCAAGAAACCATTGCAACAGTTTCGCCTAATAGACGTTACCCCGGATATGAGTCCATTCCCATCGATGTTTCAAATACTTTTAAACCTATTTTTAAAAAGTCATAAGTAACCAACAAAAAGAAAGATTTTCCATCTCCAAGTATCGTCTTTTCAAATGTGAAAGAAAAAACATAATAAAGTGTAGTGTTACAGCTATATTCATCATTTGTCATCAAAAACCTAACACAGTTTTAGTTTGGCCAAGTACTAAGCTGCACAATACATTTGAACTTAAAACAAATCACAAAAAAAGCAAATGTGATGTATTTGACAGATAAATACGTACATCCAATACATTACTGGAACTACGAGCAAATACTAGTTACAAATGACAGTGGCGAAGTTAAAACTGAAGATTACTAGTTTTTTATACATTTTGGCCAAAATTAACCGGCCATCTTAAAAATGGGTAATTTTTCATGTCATATCTCCTAAACCTGTCGTCCGATTTAAGTAATTTTTGTAATATAATATAGCATTTTTCCTTGACAATATCAATATTATAATATGGTTGCTAAACAGGTAAATTTTCATTATTGTATACCGGGTGTACGAATTAAACTTTAAAAAAACGTTAAAAAACATTTCTTTCTTAAAGTTTGCATCACCCTGTGAAATATTATGGCACTTATCAAAATATTGAAATTTAAACCTATCTATAGCCTCATGTTTTTTCAACATTCTGTTTTTTGATTCATTGGCTTATGTTGGATAATACAAAAGTTAGGTAGTTTAACAACTAGCCATGTTTTTCATATAGACGATTTAACTTACCAGCAAAATTAACCCCACTACCTTTATTATTGTTTTGTTTACATTACCTATCACAGTTTGTTTCCTAAATTTGTGTCATCGAAGAATTTTCGATATATTTATATACAACATTGTACAACATTGCTGCAAATCTGTTTCCGTGTTAATAACAATTATTAAACAATTTGCAATTAAAATTAAATTTGTAATTAAAATTAACAATTAAAATTGTAATTTTATATCATTATGGGCAAATATTGGTTAAGTTGAACAGGCCAAGCTCGAAAACGATCCACTTTAGTTCGGGATGACCTCTTCATTGTCACTAATGTATTGAGAAATCGCTTTTTCGCCGCTCCTGAAGCTCGTAGATCTCTTCTTGAGGTGAGAAACGTTAGTGTAAGTAGATAATCGATTAGAAAAAGACTATCACAAATAAACTTGAGGACTTTTCCTCCAGCTTGGGCACCACAACTGCTCCCACAACACCGTAGGCCTAGATTTCATTTTTCGCGAGAACGTTTGCAATATACTTTTCTTAGATGAGAGCAGAATAGCCCTAAAAGGTCCAGATAGACGCCAGCGTGTCTATAGGCGTCAAAATGAAAGGTTTGCTGCTTGCACTATAACCCAAACAGTGGCTTACAGAGGAGGGTCAATAATGATTTGGGGAGGTATTTCTTACGAAGCGCGTACTGATCTTGTTGTATTCGGTAGAGGCAGTATGAATGCCCAACTATACGTGCAAGAAGTTCTCTAAGACCATGTCATGCCCTTTGCACCATTCATTGGTGATAACTTCAGACTAATGCATGTCAATGCACGTTGCCATACAACAAGATCTACCCGTGAGTACCTTAATGAGGTTGGGAGTCAAGTTCTACCATGGCCAGCACACAGTCCCGGTCTTAACCCAATTGAGTATATCTGGCACAACCTCAAAAGACAGGTAAGCGCAAACGTAGCAGCCACTGCATCCTTTGAAGAGCTGAAGACAGCTGAGGTAGAGGAGTGGCACAATATCCCCCAATCTAAGGATATCGTGATACCGTGAAGCAACACATTTTAGTGTTGCTTCTTAAAAGACAGAAAATATTGATCTTTCACGTTGAGAACACCTATGAATAACTGTTCTGATGAGACCTATTAGGCCGAAATACGTATCAACAGATACATAGGCGCTGTTTGCGTGAAATCAAATATTTGCTGTCTTTTTCATTTCAACATATATAGTTGTTAAAATACCTAACTTTTGTATTATCCAACATAAGCTAATCAATCAAAAAACAAAATGTTAAGAAAGCATGAGGATATAGTTATGATTTAATTTCAGTATTCTACAAGTGCTAGAATATTCCACAGAGTGATACAAACTTTAAGAAAAAAACACGCTTTGTAAAAGAGGTCTCCCGCAACATTGCTTTATATGTAAAAAAAATTGTCGATTTCGTGATTACATCAACATTAATGACGCAATGCTTAACATGAATACAGCAAAGATTTTTGTAAGAGTTGTTTCCGAAATAATGAATTTATTCCATACTTTTGCATCATACTCTATAAATATAACACATATTTCAAAGAAACGTTACACTAGTGAAGATGTATAAAAAATTATAATATTTGACATTTTCTTTTGTGAATTTTTC